GAGCGCTCACCTTGAGCTGAAGAGCTGAGGGACAGCGCCCAGGCCCAGAGTTCAAGCCCCACGACTGACAAAAAAAAAAAAAAGATGACCTGCAAGACAAGTATGCATTATTTAAAATCTTTTACAAATTCAACTTGACTCATGTTTTAGTACCTTCAAATTTTCCTTCCCTCAGAACTCCTGAAAATGCTTTCAAAGAATAGAGCAAGCAAGCTGGGTATTGGTAGCTCAGGCCTGTAATCCTAGCTACTTAGAAGGCTGATATCAGAGGATCATGGTTCAAAGCCAGCCAGGGCAGGAAAGGCCATGAGACTCTTATTTCCAATTCACTACCCAAAAAGCTGTGGCTCAAGTGATAGAACACTAGCCTTGAGCAAGAAAGCGCTGGAACAGTGCTTAAGCCCTGAGTTCAAGAGCCAGGACCAGTACCAAAACAAAAGCAAATATGAATAACAGAGCAGTTAGAAGTAAACAAGCATACTTTTAATTCCAACTACTTGGAAGGCTGTGGTAGGAATAATGAGGCTCAAGGTCACCCCAGGCAAAAGCATGAGACCCTACTTGAAAAACAAGATTAAAGCAAAAGGATTGGGGACATGAATCAAATGGTAGTATACATAAGAGGTCCTGTGTTCAATTTCTGATACTGCATTACAAATACATATGAAACAGAGTTGTTTCATATTATATTAACATGCCAACACTATACAGTTCTTTCAGTTGAGAATTGAATCTCAGTCTTATGTAGGGTAAACTTATTTTATTTACTTTATTTTTCTGCTGTATAAAATGTAAAAATCAACTTCAGCAAATGATCTACATTTAAATGCTCTAAACAGGCTTTTATTTTTATAGGTCTTTTTCTCTTTAGTAAGCAAAAGTAGGAGAGGCTCTAGGATATCATTCCTGCTGCTGCTTCTACTAGAATTAACTCTGATATATCCAGGTTATTGACACACTAAAAAGCTCCCTCTGACAGAATTTCTGAAAGTTTGGTCAGCAGCTGAACGCCTAGAAATAAGTGTTTGTTGAACTTGCTGCACAAGAACTTGTTTATTTCCTTTTGCCTTATTTTTCCAGTCCTGGGGTTTGAACAAAGGGCTTGGATGCTGTCCCTGAGCTTCTTTTGCTCAAGGCTACTGCTCTACCACTTCTAGCTTTCTTGGTAATGTATTGGAGATGAGTCTCACAGACATTTTGACTTCTTTCACCATGATTTTGGAGCAAATTCCAGTGTTTCTAGCAACACCAGAGCCCACCAAGAGGAAAGAATCAAATGATATTTCTAGCCTGATTTGGTTAGAAGTTCCCTACCCTGAATCTCTGAGACCAAGGACAAGGATGCAGAGATAAAAGATAGCATCCTATGTCTTGGTAACTGAGTGAGACAGCTTGGATCTTGAATGTTTCCTAAAGGGTCATCTCTTTAAAAAACTTGATACCCAGATGGCACTATTGAGGCTCTAGAAACTTTAAGAGGTGGGACCTTGTGGGAGGTCTTTAGGTCATTGGCAACCAAGTCATTGAAAAGAATTGTGGGATTCCTGGCCCTCTCCTCATTCTCTTTTGCTCCTTGGCTATGATTTGAGCAGTGTTGCTTCTTCATATACTTCTGCTAGTCCACAGGCCTAAAGACCAGCCAGTCATTAATTGAAACTTCTAAACTATGAAACAAAATAAACCTTTCCCCCCTTTTATAAGTCAATTTTGTCTAGTATTTTATTATAGTGATCAAAAGCTGACCAATACACTAAGTCATCCTTTAGGCAAGTGAAGCCTGCTAATCTTTTCTTTTCTTTTCTTTTTGTGGGGGGGGGTCCGGCCGTGGGCCCTGAACTATGGGCCTGGGCGCTGTTCCTCAGACCTTCAGCTCAAGGCTAGCACTCTACCACTTGAGCCACAGCGCAACTTCTGGCTTTTTTCTTTTTGCTTATGTGGTGTTGAGGAATCGAACCCAGGGCCTCATGCATGCAAGGTAAGCGCTCTACCACTGAGCCACCTTCCCAGCCCCCCTGCTAATCTTTTCACTGAGACTCATGCTCTGACTTCATCTACCTCTTTACCACCACACCCACAACACTATCCCATCAAGGACCTTCATCTCCATCTCAAAGGGACATCGTATCTCATATTTCCTTGTATTGAGAATCTTGGCTAAGGCTTCTACCACACTACTCTCCCTTGGATCCAGTCATGATGAAAATTCAAGATAGTCACTGTGAAAATTCTCAACCTACTCTACCATGCTGGTTTTTATCTAGGAGAATTGCTTCATCAAAATGGCATTATGCTGTATCTCCATGCTATAGAAGTGACTGCTATCAATTGAGCACTAATTTCCCATTGTAATTAATCTGTCTTCGGTAATTCGGTCTGAGAGGTGGGACATTTTATTTTGTGGCATGGAAGATGAATCCCAATCTTCCAGAAGTTTTCAGTTTACAATGAAAATAAGATGCAGAGCATCAAAATAGCAGACACTGTCTCTACTTATCCCCAACACCCTTCCCCCCAATATAACTAGGAGAGTTGCCAAAGAGCAATCTCCATGAAAAATGTATTTATCAGTTAAGAAAAATAAAATTTCCTCTTCATGCTGTTCAGTTATCCTGCTCATTTCTTAATAGTCCTACATTCATAAAAGGCCAAAGGACTCTGACCTTGACAAGCTAACTGAGCAGGAAGAGGCAATCATGTGTACAAGGCTGTCATCCACCCCACAAATTATGATAAAATATACCTCAGGATTGGCAGGGGGAAAAAAAGAGTTGTATGTCTCCAGTGACATCCACAGTAGTACATTTAAGGATTTGAATAGAACAGCAATTTATTTTGCACTAATATGTTTCATGGTTATCATGAAGCATTATGTCTTTAGAGGCTAAAAAGTGATGTTTTTATGGACTCTAGCTCCTTGCTGCATTATCTTCACTGCTCTGAAATGATCACTCACTATTTAAAATTTTTTTTAACCTCTTGCCCTCTGCCTTTGCTCCTCATTTAACACAGCAACCACTTTTGTAAAAGAAAAAGGTGGAGAAAAGAAAAACTGAAGCTGCATCAGACAAAGGGCACAAACACACAGCGTTCCAAATCGGCATAGTTTCAGAATGAATGATTATCTGGCTAATTAGTGAAATAAATAATAATAATTGCCTGTCCCTCCTCATTAGAGCCCTTAATAGCAAATGGAACCCCAGTGCAGAGTTCCGGCAAGCTGGTTTAAAGCACAGCACTGAAGGGGTGGAGGAGATGGGAAGAGACCCAACTCTGTATTGCTCATATCCCCAACCCCAATCACGGAAGAACCAGAAAAATTGTGGACTTTGGGTGGAGTCTGATGTGGCTTGGGATATAAATGGGGGGCTATTTCTGACTTCCTTCCATGCTAAAGAATTATACTGTGTTCTAGATGTCCAAAAGATAACAACAAAAGTGAGAGGTGACTTCTATGGACAATAGACCTCTGGGACCAGAGCTTGAAAGAAATGATTCTCAATTGTTCAAGGTTTTTGACTGTGTTCCCAAAGTCTGATCCAATCAGTCTAGCCACATTTTCCCCCTCAGGCTTCTGGTTGAACCTGCAAGTTCTAGGTTATCCATGTAAGCAGAAGCTCTGCACCTGGCTCAGGAGCTGTATACTCATCTGAACTCTCAACTGCCTCCTCTGACCTGCAATTGATGAGGACCCTCTGGGACCACTAGTGGCTGGTGAGATTGGGACAATCCTCTGATATAATGCTTGCTTCTGTCTGGGCCAGAAGGTGTAATAGCAGGAAATCTCACAGCTTTGACAGTCTTGCAAAACAGTTTATCTTGTGGTCCAGCCACAGCACAACACCCTCGCTGGCAGGGCTATTCTTGCCACAAACGTCTGCAATTAGTATAGAACTTTGTTATTCTGGTCCATGAAGTCAGTCCAGCTGAACGCTAAACGCATCCGGTTGGCTTCTAAACATATGACAGATCGGCTTTTAGGGGTCTGTTCTCAGTATGAGTTTAGATTCTATTAATGGAAATCAGCGGGGAGTTCCCAGGGCCCAGGCAACTTATCTTGTAAAACAATTTTTTTCCTGACTCTCAAGATACCTTGGTCAAGCATTGTTACCCCAACAAGAAATGTACTCATTACCTCCTTACTCATGGAACTGTAACCCCTCTGTACAGCATCTTTACAATAAAATAATAAGAAAAAATACCTTAGTCTATTTGCTCTTCATTCTGTGACTTGAAGTTCTTCAGTGGTCAGGTGTCAGTAGGAAAAGGGGATTTAAAAAGTCTTGTCCTTAAACATCTCCCATTTTCAGAATCAACCTTTCAAGATATCCTCTGTCCCATCACCCACACTGCTCCCTTCGACTATGATTCCTTTACCCAGCTGAATGGAGTAAATCTACTGTACTGATGCTTCACTCTTCAGAAGATGGGTCATTTTCCATGTATGCCTGTGTGACAATGGAACTCGGAAAATGAGGAGATGGGTGGAAGTTGGGAGAGAGGGGAGAACGTGATGTTGTCCTCATAAACTGACATGTTGAAATGAAAACCCTGGGGGCAACTAAATGAGAACAAGAAATTAAATAAGTGAAAAAGAATGTGGACCACCTCATCCCCAGGGGAAAATGGGATCCTTCCCCTTGGTCAGCTTCTGGTTTCCTGGAAGAACGAGGTCACACCTTCTGAGGACCTAGTTCTACTCCTTGCCCCCTGCCTGGGGTAGGAAAGAAGAACATAGCCCCACCCATGGAGGAGGAGGAAGATGTGGCTCCGCCCCCTAGGGGGGGGGAACGTGGCCCCGCCCCTGTGGGAGGGAGGAACGTGGCCCCGCCCCTGTGAGGGGGCGTGGCCCCGCCCCTGTGGGAGGGAGGGAGGGACGTGGCCCCGCCCCTGGGGCGTGGTCTCCCTGCCTAGGAAGACCGAGGAAACGCTGGCGGGGCCTGTGCGGCTTGGAGGTCTCTTTGCTGAGGTAACTTCATGGCGCCCTTCTGTTAAATAATAAGTTATTGACGTCGCACGATAGTCCTGTGAGTCAGGGGCCCTTGGTGTACAGTGGAACCGAGGCGTGGAAGTCTGGGTATCTGGGTCTCTGAGGCTTGGTCTGCACCGCAGGCCCGGGGTCTACACGGCTGAGGTGGGCCTGTGTCTTCCAGGCCGGGGTATGTGGGCCTCGTGTTGGAGGCCGGGTGCGTGGGCCTCGTGTTGGAGGCCGGGTGCGTGGGGCCTCGTGTTGGAGGCCGGGGTATGTGGGCCTCGTGTTGGAGGCCCGGGTGCGTGGGCCTCGTGTTGGAGGCCGGGGTGCATGGGCCTCGTGTTGGAGGCCGGGGTGCGTGGGCCTCGTGTTGGAGGTGAGGCCGGGGTGCGTGGGCCTCGTGTTGGAGGCCGGGGTGCGTGGGCCTCGTGTTGGAGGCCGGGGTGCGTGGGCCTCGTGTTGGAGGCCGGGGTATGTGGGCCTCGTGTTGGAGGCCGGGGTGCGTGGGCCTCGTGTTGGAGGCCGGGGTGCGTGGGCCTCGTGTTGGAGGTGAGGCCGGGGTGCGTGGGCCTCGTGTTGGAGGCCGGGGTGCGTGGGGCCTCGTGTTGGAGGCCGGGTGCGTGGGCCTCGTGTTGGAGGCCGGGGTATGTGGGCCTCGTGTTGGAGGCCGGGGTGCGTGGACCTCGTGTTGGAGGCCGGGGTGCGTGGGCCTCGTGTTGGAGGCCGGGGTGCGTGGGCCTCGTGTTGGAGGCGAGGCTGGGGTGCGTGGGCCTCGTGTTGGAGGCGAGGCCGGGGTGCGTGGGCCTCGTGTTGGAGGCCGGGGTGCGTGGGGCCTCATGTTGGAGGCGAGGCCAGGGTGCGTGGGGCCTCGTGTTGGAGGCGAGGCCGGGGTGCGTGGGGCCTCATGTTGGAGGCCGGGGTGCGTGGGCTTCGTGTTGGAGGCCGGGGTGCGTGGGGCCTCATGTTGGAGGCCGGGGTGCGTGGGCCTCGTGTTGGAGGCCGGGGTGCGTGGGGCCTCGTGTTGGAGGCCGGGGTGCGTGGGCCTCGTGTTGGAGGCCGGGGTGCGTGGGGCCTCATGTTGGAGGCCGGGGTGCGTGGGCTTCGTGTTGGAGGCCGGGGTGCGTGGGGCCTCGTGTTGGAGGCCGGGGTATGTGGGCCTCGTGTTGGAGGCAAGGCCGGGGTGCGTGGGGCCTCGTGTTGGAGGCCGGGGTGCGTGGGCCTCGTGTTGGAGGCCGGGGTATGTGGGCCTCGTGTTGGAGGCGAGGCCGGGGTGCGTGGGGCCTCGTGTTGGAGGCCGGGTGCGTGGGCCTCGTGTTGGAGGCCGGGGTGCGTGGGCCTCGTGTTGGAGGCCTGGGTGCGTGGGCCTCGTGTTGGAGGCAAGGCCGGGGTGCGTGGGCCTCGTGTTGGAGGCCGGGTGCGTGGGCCTCGTGTTGGAGGCCTGGGTGCGTGGGCCTCGTGTTGGAGGCCGGGGTGCGTGGGCCTCATGTTGGAGGCCGGGGTGCGTGGGCCTCGTGTTGGAGGCCGGGGTGCGTGGGGCCTCGTGTTGGAGGCGAGGCCGGGGTGTGTGGGGCCTCGTGTTGGAGGCCGGCGCCCACGTCTACAAGGCTGGGGTGTGTGGGCCGTTGTCTTCAAAGCCAAGGGGTGTGGGGTCCGAGGCCACACAGCCCCACCCCGTTTTCGAGGACAGGCCTATCTACCACTGGAGCACCATCTCGGAGCAAAGAAAAGCACAGCGCCTAGGCCCTGAGTTCAAGCTCTAGAACCAGACCCACCCTCCCCAGGCCCCCAAAACAAACAAATCCCCTACAACGCCCCCTCCCCATACACATTTGGTCCTTCCCTTGTCCCCTCAGCACCTGGAGTTTGCTCTTCCAGGTTCACAGAGGGAGAGACCCTCAGCCTGGGTGTTTCTTGAGCTACTAGCTGCTTAAGGGTGGCTGCCTGCCTAGCTATTGCCTCAGACATTGCTGGAGGTCTTGGGGGGATGGGAGGGTGGGGGGGGGACACCAAACTATAAAGGCCGAAGAGAGATGCTATGGAAGCAAGGCCAGGTGCTGCCACTTGTCTAAATAAGTTATTCTGGTTTGCCAGGCTTGTACCGTACATTAATAGCTGCTGCGAACCGACTTTTACTCCTAGGGCATATTTTTCCTGTTATATTATTTTTATACTTTCTTAAATGAAAAAATAATAAGCTCCTTCTAAAGTATTTTAATAATGTAACTGTACAAAGTAAAAGTAAGAACGCTTAGGCCTCTTCTCTATCATTTCAGTATTCCATGTTGCTAGTAATCTGGTACATGATCTTCCAAGTCTTTTTCTTCTTTGCGTGTGTGTGTGTGTATGCGCGCCAGTACTGGAGCTTTGAATTCAGTAAGTCCCACTTGCTACTGGTGGAATACCACTAAGCCATGCCTGTAGGACCACTGTTTAGGATAGTGTCTTACTTCCCTCTTGGGCATGCTCCTGCTCCTGAGTTTCAATCTGCAATTTTTAGGATTTCTGTCATCACTGGGATCACAGATATGTAACACTATGTCCAGCTTCCCCATTACCAGGTTTATGAGCATCTGCCACCAGCATCTGACTTCCAAAACCTACTTCTAAGCACAGATAATTGCATATTTTCTTCTCTCCCCCACCCCCCAAGCATTTTCTGTAGATTCTGCCTCTGAGACTAAAAATGACCAATTTCTCCCTCCCTCCCTCCCTCTCTCCCTCCCTCCCTCCCTCCCTCCCTCCCTCCCTCCCTCCCTCCCTCCCTCCCTTCCCTCCCCCCTTCCTTCCTTCCTTCCTTCCTTCCTTCCTTCCTTTCCTTCCTTCTTACTTTTCTTCTTACCTTTCTTCGTTGTTGTTTTTTTTCTTGGTAGGTGGTGGGGTTTGAACTCAGGGCTTGTGCACTGTGACTGTGACAGTCCCTCTTGAGTGAGACATTCCTCTAAGTGCTGTCCCACTTGAGCCCCAGCACCACTTCTGTCCTTTTCTGAGTAGTTTATTGGAGATTTTCCTGCCCAGGCTGGCTTTCAACCACGATCCTCAGATGTTAGCTTCCTGAGTAGCTAAGATTACAGACATGAGCCATCAGCTCCCAGCCCATTTCCTCCCTTTTTTGTTGGCAGTACTGAGTTTTGAACTCATAGACTCATGCTTGTTGGCAAGTTCTCTACCACTTGAGCCACACCTCAAATACAAAAACTACCAGACTTGGGTTGTTGGTGGGGATAGGTGTCTGTATGACTTTTTGCCTGGTCTGGCCTCGAGCTAGCCCTTTAACTTCATATCCGCCCAACCTTGGCAGCTTGCCCCAGTTCTTCCATCTATCATTTCAAACTGTGTTTTATGCAACTTGAACACTTGTTGTTGTTGTTTAAAAAAAACACCTCCACTAATCAGCAGTGAAAGAAATTTAGCCATGGTGTTTTTGTTTTTGATTTTTGACCAAAACTTAGACAAGTCGTAAGACCTTCTAGCTTCAAGAGAATCAACAGTAGTCCCTAAATTCTAAAAAAAAAATTAATACTAAGACTTAATAGCAGATATTTGGGGAAGAGAATAACAACATTCTATATTAAGAATATTTATAAACTCAAACATAATTGTATGAACTATTAAAACATGAATTTAAAGATTTTTGTTTGAGTCAGTATCTCACTATGTACCCAGGCTGGCCTTGAAATTGTGATCCTTCTGACTCAGTCTCTTGAGTGCTAGGATTCTAAGAATGCATTGAAATATTCAACTTGAAATATTTTTAAATTAAGTGCATTTTTTGAACTAAGGAGCTATGGTTAGTTTTAATCACTCACGTTTCATGTTGTGAGCTAAGATCCTCACCTCCTCCTTTGGCATGGTCTACCCCAATATATTATCTAAGATAACTAAGACCTTAGAAGATGAATAGTTTCAAATATTGGATGTTTTAACATGGACATGAGTTAGGACTTGGATTAACCGAAATTATCTTGACATTTTTCCAGTGGTCTACTCATCTATGCTATGAAAAGCCTGTATGGGCTGATTTCTCCATTAGGAATTTTGGCCACAGCTTTTTAAAAATAAATCACAACCTGAAGGTGATCTTTCTGTGTGCTTGGTTTTAATGGTAGAAAGCACAGAGATTAGTCACAAGTCTAGGAAGTGATTATATATATATATATATATATATATATATATATATATATATATATGATCTAGAATTATAAAGTTTGGGAAAGGATATAAACCGAGTGATCTCTCTTGCTTCCAGATAAAGTTCCTAGTATCTTGTCATGTGACAACATGTGTATTCATGTACATTTGTATATGCCAGTTACCTGTGTTTGAACATTTCTGGGCCTTCTGGGCCTTGCACTCTTGCCTAGCCCCCCATCCCCTTTTGCCATTCCTGGGGCTTGAACTCTGAACCTAGGTGCTGTCCCAGAGCTTCTTTTGCTCAAGGCAAGCACTCTACATTTCCGGGGTTTTTTTTTGAGTAGTTTATTGAAGACAGGAGTCTCACTGACTTTCCTGCCCATCTTGCTTCAAACCACAATCTTCAGATCTCAGCTTCCTGAGTAGTTAGGATAACAGGCATGAGCCACTGTACCTGGCTTACCCAGGTATTGCTCATGGCTGATGCTGTACCACCTGAGCCATGCCTCCAGTACAGCTTTTTATGGTTAATTAGAGGTAAAGTTTTGAGGACTTTTCTGCCCACAACTCTTACATCTCAGCCTGTGGAGTACCTGCACCTGCACCTAGCTTTCTTTTGGTTGGTGGGGTGGGGATGTACTCAGGTTTGAGCTCAGAGATCCTTGTTTGTTTGGCTTGCTTGCTCAGCTGGCACTTTAACTTCTGAGCCCCACCTTAGAGGAACTTCTTAGTTTCCTCTCCTCAGTCTATGAACAATTCCTTGAATAAGCAGAATTATAAGTGCCAACATATATGGATTAAGTCAAAGCTGGCCCAATGAATGGAGACCTATTCCTCCCAGCCCCTAACATCTAAAATTCTGTCAGAAATTGACTTACTTGCTTTTATAGATTCCTGACTGTTTAAGAACACCTTAAACTATTGTTACTTAGCAAATATTTGCTCATAGTAATTATTAGGACCTGTGATTGAAGAACAAGATTTAAAGGAAATACCTAGAAAGTCAAAATAGACATTAAAAAAATGTTCAAGTATCAGAACTAAATTATAATCTCACTATCTTGTTAATAGTTTATCTTTTTTTTGAGAGCTTGGAAGATGATTAGTTCTATGTAGGTACTTAAATATTTTTTAACCAAAAGTATTCTACAGAGCTGGGTGCTGGTGGCTCACACCTGTAACCCTTACTACTTAGAAGGCTGAGATCTGAGGATTGTGGTTCAAAGCCAGTCTGTGCAGAAAATGTCAGTGCGACTCTTATCTCCAATAAACCACCAGAAAACTGGAAGTGGAGCTGTGGCTTCAAGTGGTAGAGTGCTAGCCTCAAGTGAAAGAGCTCAAGGACATTGCCTAGGCCCTGAGTTCAAGCCCCACACTGGCAAAAAAAAAAGTCTACAAATCCAAACTATTCAGAACCTCATTTCAGCCCAGCTGTGAATATCAATGACAGTGTTAATAAAGACATCCTCTAAAGGGAAGTGTAGCTTGGATTGTGTCCAATCCCCAGACAACCCCACAAAGACAACCCCACTTGCTTGCAGGACCCTCCCTGGTATGGGGCTAATTCCTAACAGAAAATAACAAAAAGTTCTCAAAAGAAATCATACAGTAACTAATTAAATATTTCAGAGACCCTCATTAAAACATCTTGCTATTTGTACTGATTATCATGTGGCTGCTTACACAGATGCTCATAAATCTGACTGCATTAGGTTCTAAGGCCTTTATTTCAGTTAATTTCTTCTCCCTCTGTGGACTTGCCTAGGAAATGAGATTTAATGAGTCACCGTCCTCCCTCATAATCACAGGAGAGCTCATTAGCTTTTTGTCAGATTTGTACCTATTATCTGCTCTCAATATGCCTAGGACTCCTTTTGAGTTAAATATGATATTACCAAGAGAAGAACCCACAAGAACATTTTTGTATTGATTGCTGTGGACTGGAAGCGCTGTGTCAATATTTTTACATATGTTAAAAGGCATCTGAGAGCAGAAGGTAAAAAAAATAACAAAATATAGGTTTTCTTACCTATGCAGTTGCTACTTAGATTACACACATCATTAGAAAGAAAGAAAGAAAGATGGACAGTTACACACTTGTATTCCCAAATCTCCTTAACTGCCTAGGCTAAGTTGAAATGAGAGATTCAAGGGAAAGAAGGAAAGAGCGCCATGATTCTTATAATTCATCAGTTTGGGGCAATTTCCTATCACCTATTTTAGGATATTTCACTACAGCCTTCAAATCTCATGACCTGAAGTTTCCACTGGGAAGACCAGAAGGCTCACACCATTTCATGAGAAGAGAACATTGTACAATGCTCTTAAATAAAAGCTTGAAGTGGGCCAGGTTA